TCAAATGCCGGTATATATCTCAGCATTTGTAAACTAGCTAGGTATATAGTTTCCATAAAAGGATGTTTACTATAGCTATCAGAGAAGAGTAGGGCTCAAGATGAGGTCGTTCACATGTTTCGGGGTGGATCTTTCGCCTGATCATAACATCGGCAGTTACCTCGATACTTTGTTCAGGGATTTCTACTTCAAATGGACGTTGAGCAGAGGAAGCTGAGTTAAGTTTTGATCTCCAACCAGCAGGACATGAAAATAGAGTAGTAGACAAAGTTGAGCAGAAGCTTCCATTGGACTGGGCGTGATTCTGGGAATTCTTTGGCTTTGTTTGCTCGAGGCAAATGTCGACTTCAGACTGTAGCTCCATTTTTCTTTTGCGTTAACTACTGCTTTTTAAGTTTCAAATGTATGGTAATTAGTATGGAAATGTAGTAGTTGCTCATCGTGGAACAGAGAATCCATGATAAACTTAACCTTTTCATGCACGGGCCAACTGATGAAGAGCCTTCTGCTTATTTGCCTAGAACTTGCGGTTATCTTTACCTAATGATCATTAGCAACTTTGAAGGCATGGCAACAGCTCATTTTGATTTTTATATCATACCATACATATTTCTCTAAATTGTCCTCTTGCATAAGTTTATTAGCCATCCATCACGTCTAAACAATTTCCAGTTTAAATATATTCTTTTCAACTGGTTAGCTCTTTTTTTTCCAGTTTAAATACGTTTCGTCGTCGTGTGGGGTACACGGGAATGGATGAGAATGGAATCTTCATTCCAACTACTCAATCATGCATAACAAATATGACAACTTTTCCCTGCTAACGTGCTCCCCCGCCTTGTTTTTTCATGGCGAAGAAGAAGAAGATCGGAGGTAGTAGAGCTCAGAGCAATGAAATAAGGGATTCTCTCTTTGTTTTCTCCCCTTCAGCTATGCTCGAAACTCGAGTTTCTTCATCTGAAGCTGAAGTGGAAATCAATGAAACAGTTTCTTCTTCAATCCAACAGGAAATGGAGAGTACTGGCCCTAAGGGGGCTAAAAAGAAAATGTTTATGGAAGAGATTCTTGCTAGATCTAATCCATTAACAGCTCCTCAATCCCCTGAAATGAGATCCGGTATGATGATTCCTCGCCGGTTAGGTAAAACTCCTATCTCTGCTTTATGGTCTGATCAAGTTGATTCAGATTTGAATGTGATTACTGAGGAAAATTTTGAAGTAAGCAATCAGCAAATGATAAATGCAAAAAATATTGATAACAATATTGCTCTTGAGGGAGATAATAGAAAGGATTCTGATACTATTGAGCAAGGAAAAAGCTCCAGATCTGAATCTAGATCTGAAGATCAAAGATCTTTTGCTAGCCTCTTTTCTGAGAATAGAAAGCATGGGAATGGTTTATCGCTAAAATTTGTTCCACCTCTACAAACTAATGATGTTTCTTTCACTGAAGAAGAATGGAAAGAAGGAGAGGAATTTTGGAAATTTGCTCTAATAGGACATGTTATTGGATTAAATGTTAAATTTAAATCCATGGAATCATATGTCAACAAGAATAGGACATGTTATTGGATTAAATGTTAAATTTAAATCCATGGAATCATATGTCAACAAGACTTGGGGGAAAATTTCTATTCCAAAAGTTTTCTTAATCATTTAAATCCATGGAATCATATGTCAACAAGACTTGGGGGAAAATTTCTATTCCAAAAGTTTTCTTAATTAAACAAGGTGTCTTTCTCTTTGAGTTTACTGCTGAAAAACAGATGAATGAGATATTAGAGGCAGGGCCTTGGTTTTTTGGTGCCAGACCTCTGATTTTGAAGCCATGGAAGATTGACACTGACATTGATAAGATTCAAGACTGTAGTTACCCAATGTGGGTTCAATTCCCAAATTTAAAACTAAATTTGTGGAGTTCTTCAGGCATTAGTAAGATTGCTAGTCTTATTGGCAACCCCATCACTACTGATAAACTTACTGCATTGAGACAGAGATTATCCTATGCTAGGGTCTTGTTAGAAGTTGATTTACCTCTAAAAGAGCCACTGCCAGACCAGCTAGTTATTAATAGACCTGATGGAAAAAGCTATACACAAAAAGTGGTCTATGAGCTAAAGCCAAGATGGTGTGCAAACTGTAAGATGGTGGGACATGATACTGAGCATTGCAGAAGAAATGCTGTTAAGAAAATCTGGATTCAAAAATCAATAGGGAACATACATGCACAAAAAAATCAGAATATACCTGGCACAGATAACCCTGTACAAGTTGAGCCTGAAATACATGCACAGAAAGATGCTGCACCAATTTCAGACAATGGAAAAGCTCTGGATCATGCAGAATGTCCTATCAGGCCTGAAAGTGGAATATCTGTTCAACAAAGATCAGTTGCTGGTTGTGGAAGTCCTGGCATACTTGGCCTTGTTCAATCAAATATATCACCCACTATCAATGCCAGTGGTTTCACCAGTGTAAGCAGGAATAGTATTGCCAGAAGATCAAAAATGGATGTTAGTGACAGTTCTGCACAGATCCAAGTTTCACAATTTTCTTTGTTAGATCATCAGGATCATTTTTTTGACCCTTCAAATGTTGATAGGGGAAAATTACAATAAATATGCATTTAACTATCTGGAATGTTAGAGGATTGAACAAATCCTCTAAACAAATAATAGTGAAGCAAATAGCTCATGAATATAAGCTTTCCTTCCTTGCACTTCTGGAAACTAAAATTCCTAGCAGCAAAATGCATATTATTGCTAAGAAAATGACTAGAGATTGGGATTGGATCTCTAATGCTCATCATACAGATAGAGGAAGAATCTGGATCCTCTGGGATAGTGATGTTTTATCTGTTCAACATATATCCTCCTCGGAGCAATTTATAACATGCAATGTCTCCTCTAAGGATGGCAAAATCTCCTGCATTGCAACTATTGTGTATGCTCTAAATGACCATATTGGAAGGAAAACTCTTTGGCATGATCTATCAATGTTCAAGCAAAGTGTTAATTGTCCATGGATTGTAGGTGGTGATTTCAATGCTATCATTAGTAATGAAGAAAAAATGGGTGGATCTCAAGTATCTGAATCTGACACTGAAGATTTCCAAAAGTTCATTGAATTGAATCAGCTGCATCATCTAAAAGCTACTGGCTGTTTTTTTCACATGGTGTAATAAGCAGGATGCAAAAACCAGAATATGGAGCAGATTGGATAGGGTTTTGGTCAATGAGGAGTGGATTCAAAAATTTACCTCCAGTCAAGTTGATTTTTTAGTGCCAAATTTCTCTGATCATTCCCCAACTTTAGTGACCATTGGTGATGATGAAATTAATGAAGGAAAGAAACCATTCAAATTTTTTTCCATGTGGATTAAGCATCCTGATTTCAACACAAGGGTAAAAGCTGTTTGGGATCAAGATTTGAGAGGCTACTACATGTATAAACTGGTTACAAAGCTGAAAAATCTCAAACCAGTTTTAAAAGAGTTAAATAAGAGACACTTTATGAGTATCAGTGAACAGGTTATAAGAGCCAGAGAGGAACTTTCTGTGATTCAACAACATTTAGCTAATGCTCCTTTCAATTCTGACCTGATAGCAAAGGAGAAAATATGTCTGAGTACTTATGCCAGGTTGATTGATTTTGAAACCTCCTTCTACAGGCAAAAAGCTAACATTAAATGGAGTCTACATGGAGATAAATGCTCTAAATTCTTTCATTCTGTTATGAAAACAAAAAGACACCAAAATAGGATACTGTTTATATATTCTGATAATGGAACAAGACTTACTGATATGTCTGACATCACTATGGAATTCATTGCTTACTTCAAAAACCTCCTGGGCTGCACTGGTTCTTATACAGAGATTAATCATGATGTATTAGCTAAAGGGCCTGTTATCTCTCCTGATCAAGCAAAAAACCTGAGTGCACCTGTTTCAAGGGAAGAGATTAAACAAGCACTATTTTCTATGGATAATGAAAAAGCACCTGGTCCTGATGGCTACACTGCTCTCTTTTTCAAGGCAACCTGGAATTTGGTTAAAGATGATCTTCTTCTTGCTGTTGAGGAATTTTTCAAATCTGGTAAACTCCTTGGAGCTCTAAATAGTACTACTATTACTTTGGTTCCTAAGATCCTTAACCCCAAATCTCCTTCAGACTATAGACCTATCTCTTGTTGCAATGTTGTTTATAAAATCATCTCAAAAGTCATTGCAACCAGGATTCAGGGGGTTATGGGACATCTGATTAATGAAGCTCAAAGTGCCTTTGTTAAAGGAAGGGTTATATCTAGTAACATCCTTCTAGCTCATGAATTGATCAAACACTATGGTAGGAAGTCTACAACTCCAAGAGCTATTCTTAACATTGACTTAAGGAAAGCTTTTGATACTATAAATTGGAAATTTATTGAAGATATGCTCACTGATTTAGGCTTTCCAAAGAACATGATTAAGTGGATCATGTAGTGCATTAGTACCCCAAAATATTCCCTATCTTTAAATGGCACACTTCATGGCTACTTTGAGGGTGCTAGAGGTTTAAGACAAGGAGATCCTCTTTCTCCGTACCTATTTGTTTTAGGAATGGAGTATCTTTCGAGAAGATTATGCATGCTCAAAGAAGATAGGCTGTTCAAGTATCATCCAAAATGCTCCAGGCTGAAAATTTCCCATCTCTTCTTTGCTGATGATCTGTTGCTTTTCTGCAAAGCTGATTTATACTCTATTGCAAAATTAAAAGAATGCCTTTCAGATTTCAGCTGTGTGTCTGGATTAGAAATATACTCTATTGCAAAATTAAAAGAATGCCTTTCAGATTTCAGCTGTGTGTCTGGATTAGAAACAAATCCTAACAAATGTTCTATTTACATGAGTGGGATTGGAGAGGATTTAAAAGCTTAAAATCTGTGCTCTCCTTAATTTCTCTGAAGGAGTACTTCCTGTGAGATATTTAGGAGTACCACTAATCTCTAAGAGACTATCTTATATGGACTGCTATCCACTGATCAACAAGATATCTACTCAGTTTCAAAACTGGCAAAGGAAGAAAGCTCTATCCTATGCAGGAAGACTACAGCTGATTAAAACTGTTATTTTGGGTATCCAGCTCTTTTGGACTAGCAACTATGTTCTCCCAGTTAAAGTCCTGGAAAAAATTGATAATCTCTGCTCTGAATTCTTGTGGAATCACAAAATACATCTGATATCGTGGTCTGCAGTATGTCAAAGTAAAGAGCATGGGGGTTTGGGGATTTTCTCTGCTAGAAACTGGAATCTTGCAGCGGCTATGAAGCTCCTCTGGATGATACACCTTAAGAAGGATCTATTATGGATCAAGTGGATTCATGGGCATTACCTAAGGCAGTCAAGCATCTGGCAAGTGCAAATTAAATTGAATGATTCATGGATGTGGAAGCAAGTGCTTAAAGTGAGAGATAAAATGATATCCAAGTTTGGAAATATATCAAATGTGCAGAATATCATCACAAGGTGCTGTTTTGGAGATAAAATTCAGATTTCTTCTATCTATAATGGAATCATACAGCAAAATGCACCTGTTGTTTGGTCCAGAACAATCTGGGATGGATGGATGTATCCTAAACACTCCTTTATACTTTGGCTTGTTGTTCAATATAGACTGTTAACAAAAGCCAGGTTGTGTCACTTGGGGATCCTCGACACTAACTCCTGTGTTCTATGCACTCATCAGAATCATGAAACCATTGGACATCTTTTCTTTGAATGTGAATTCTCAGCAACTATCTGGAACAAAGCTATGGAATGGATGAATTTCAGGTGGAAATCTTGCAACTGGGAGTATGTTATTCAATGGTATAGTGAAAAACTGAAAGGAAAGGGTTTCATGATGAAGCTTAAGAGATTGGCACTATCAGCCACAGTCTATGCTATATGGAAAGAAAGGAATCAAAGAATTTTTAAGCAAGAAGCTAAAGAAGCCGAATTTGTGTTTAAGACAGTGAAGCTTCAAATTCTTTCTAAAGTCCTAAATGATGATGTTCCTCTCCACATAAAAGAAAGAATTGAGCAAATGTAAAAATCAAGATAGTTGTTTCTTCCAGTTATCACTGGAATGTCTTTGATGTACTCATATTTCACATTTTGGTTATGAAATAAAAAAGTTTCCTTGACCAAAAAAAAAATATGACAACTTTTTTGAAGCTAGAATGTCCGTTCTCACTTCTCCTACATTCCACATTTTGCGAGAATGAGTATTCCCAATGACTTGGTAGGGAATGAACATTCCTGTGAAAACGTTGTTCGGTGTAGAATGTTGTTCGTGCAATATCTCTTGTTTGATTAATGATAAACTCTCATTTGCTACTGATATGTATTCTCATTTGCTACTGATATATTTGTGAAATGATATATTTCAGGTATAAAGAAATACAAATAAATTATGATTCAAAAAGATGCAAAAATCAACACAAATGTTGATTTCAACCTTTAAACCATCTATGGTCACACTACAACAGACAGGTCTTTTAGCGACCAACTTTTTTGTGAGAAAATTATTTTCCTCAACAAATATTACTTTCGACGAGGGAAATATTGTTTCCTGGGTAAATATCAGTAGGTATTCTATGAGGAATATATTTTCCTCACAGTAGACCACCTTCTACGATGAAAATTTTAGTTCCTTACTAAAGATGATCATGATTTGGTCTCCTAACTAGTTATTTTATTGGTGAGGAAATATAAGATTTTGGTAATGAACTTTTTTATCGTGAAATGCACATTTAACGAGGAAATAATCATTTCATCGCTGTTCTTTTGGTGGAAAATAGAGGAAAACCCGCCAAATATAACAACGACAAAGTATGATTTCCTCGCTGAAGATCCATAATCTGCGAGGAACCGGTTCCTCATCAAAAGAATCAATTAGCGAGAAAATAATAGTTTCCTCATTATTAGTTTGGCGGGAGAAAAAAAACCCCGCTAATTTCAATCGTGACAAATTTAAGGTTTCCTCACTAAAAGTTTTTGTTTTTACGAGGAACTGTTTCCTCGTTAAAAAGAACCTATTAGCGAGGAAATTATAGTTTCCTCACTATTAATTTGGCTGAAAATTTTACAACACCCGCCAAATTCATTGACGACAAATTAAAAGTTTCCTTGCTAAAATTTTTGTTTTACGAGGAACTGTTTCCTTGTTAAAAAAAACCAATTAGCGAGGAAATAATAGTTTCCTCATTATTAGTTTGGTGAAAAAATGTGCAAAACCCGCTAATTTCAATAGCAACAAATTTAAGGGTTCCTCGCTAAAAATTTTTGTTTTACGAAGAACCGTTTTGTCGTAAAAAGGAACCTATTAGTGAGGAAATTATAGTTTCCTCATTATTAATTTGGCAAAAAAATGAGCAACACCCGCCAAATTCATTGACGACAAATTGAAGGTTTCCTCACTAATTTTTTTGTTTTACGAGAAACCCTTTCATCATTAAAAGAATCAATTAGCAAGGAAATAATAGTTTTCTCATTATTAGTTTGACCGAAAAATATGCAAAACCCACCAAATTCAATGACGATAAATTTAAGGCTTCCTCGCTAAAAGATTTTATTTTGTGAGAAATCATTTCCTTGTTAAAAAGACAATCAGCAAGGAAATAATAATATCCTCGTTATTCGTTGGCGAAAATTTTGGTGGGAATTTAGGTAAAAAGTAGGCGGGTACTCAAAGAAAATAGCTGACCTCTAATATCAATGGCCTAACAAATGTCCATATACAAGTCAACAATCGTGGGCCAATTTAGAATTTTTTTTGAATAAATGTCCAGCATGAGGTAAAACTCCAGTATGGATAGAAATAAGGATTTGGTTTGTCTGGTTGATGGTTCCTTTTTGTTGGTTTTTGCACAATTCACATGAAGATTAACAACCAATTATTATTTATTCAGGTTCAAAGGGATCCCAATGATAAATGATTGCTCACAAATCTGATAAGATTTAAACAATTTGCGATTTTTGAATATACATTTATTTCAGACTTTTGAAATTGGATTATGTTAATATATAATATTGACTTCTGAAAATAGATTAAACCAAACGTGCAATGAAATCTCTTATTACTATTTGGCATAATGTTTAAGGTATATGGTGACCATGCTTCAATATCAATGGAGAATCGTATGTGTGTGTATGTGTGTGTGTGGGCGTGTGTGTATAATTTATTTGTGATTTTTGAATATACATTGATTTCAGGTTTGATTATTTGTACAGTTGGTGAACTCTAATTGAGTTTTAATTGCCAGTATTATTGTTTTGAGTTTTGGTGATCCCCGAATTAAGGTGTGAGTTCTATTTTTATCAGTTTCATTGAAACCCCAATTGAACCCCCATTGAGTTTTGGTGAACCCAATCTGAGACTTGTATAATCACTAGTGAAAAGAGGCTCAACCCCAACGGGTGTAAGGAACCGTTGGGGCTGATTTTACTTGCCCCAACGGTTTAAACCGTTAGGACAAATTGATTTTAGCCTACACCCGAGGGAGGGAAATTTCCCCCCGTTTATTTTTGCCAAAAAATGAAAAAAATCCACAAACCCCCCATCCCCCCGTTCTCTCTCTCTCTCTCTCTCTCTCTCTCTCTCTTCAAAAAACCCCAATCCCGTGCGCCTTCTCCCCCCACCCCTCTGAACTCCCACTGCCGTCGAGCCCCACCCTCCATTATCAGCTCCAGTAGGTGTTCGCCGCCGCCGTCGAGATCTGGAGTTCGCCGCCACCTATAGCATCAAAAACCCTAGCCCTGACCCGTTCCCTCTCCTCCTCAGAACCCTAACCTCCTCATCAATTTCATTGGGGGTTTCGACCGACATGACCAGGTGGTCGATGGAACCATCGGATTCCGATCGTACGGCGACGGTGGATGCCGCATCGATCTCAGAGGCGTTCGAGGGTTTCGATATGAACTAGGGTTTTTTGAACTCGCCCTCTCTTAGTTCCTTGACTGTTATTCCTCTTACCCATTGGAATTGATCCTTAGGGTTTTGATGTTTTGATGTTTTGATGTTTTGATGTCAGATTGTGGAAAGATGCATAGAATCGAATGCTTCTGTCCGATCTAGTCCATAGAAGTGCCACTGATGTAAGCTTTGATTTTAGATCTTTACACCAAGTTCTGATGTGGATTTGATTCAAAATCTCATTTTTGTTTATGTTTGAAGCGCCCTAGGGTTCTTACAGTTGAGGACAAACCGATGAATCTCGGATGCAAATAAGTTCCCTTTGTGCCTCCTTTTTTACAAATCTGATGGACATTTGTATAGGGAAATTGGGAGGGAAGATTGTGGAGGCTTAGATGGACTTGACATTGGCAAAGAGTCAGGGCTATTTGAGGCGTGAAAATTCTTCTTCTCATAAGATACACTGGTGTTGGGAGTAAGCTTAAGAGGAATGTGTTCAGGGGTTCGTGGATGCCTACAGGTTGGTCCTGTTTTTAATAGATGAAATTTCTTAACTATGTCTGCGAGTTAGTTATTTTGCCAATCACACATTCAATGCCTTGTCAATATCATGGCCATTCTAGACAAACCCTTGATCTATTCCTCTGGGTTTAAGAGCTGATCCCCAAAGATATATATCAGTATTTGTGGAGAAATTTGGAAAATTCAGGTTTTTTGCAGATTCTGTGTCATAAGTCGACTCATGCACAGGCATAAGTCGACTTATGGTAAGTCGACTTATACAGACTGTTAAGTCGACTTACGTTCTGCTCTGGATTGTTGGTTTTTTGCTCTGCCAAGTCGACTTATCAGGTCTGATAAGTCGACTTACGATCTGTTCTCCAGTTGTTGTTTTTCGCTCTGCCAAGTCGACTTATGCAGACTGTTAAGTCGACTTATGACGGGTTTTTTGGAAAGTTAGAGTTCCTATTTGCAGTCTGTTTGGGTTTCTGTTTTGGTATAAATACCAATACGATTTGAGGGTTTTGTAAGAGCAAATCTGGGGATTTTGGAGCATAGAAAAGAGAGATCTTTCTGAGCTATTTGTTAGGGTTATTGGTTGAGAGATTGAGAGATTTGTTGGTGAGATTAGTTGGTTCGATTGAGCGATTTGTAATCTCAATTTGTATTCTCCTTCTCTATTAGTGAAAACCCACCCCCTTTCTTGCCCCGTGGACGTAGGCAATTTGCCGAACCACGTAAAACCTTGGTGTTTGTGTTTTGTTTGGTCTTTCTCTCGGCGTTCGTTGGTTTGGTTTCTCAAAGCATCATAGTTGGTTGTTTGTTTGGCTTCCGCGCCGCGCACAACAAGTGGTATCAGAGCTCAGGTTACGCTTGGGCTATTTGGAGGAGTAGATCGCTTTGGAAGTTCATCTAGGGCTTCGTTTGGTGATAAAGGTGGGATCTTTTTGGTAAAAATCTCGTCTTTTTCAGTTTGGATCTATTTCTCGTTTGTTTCCGCATTGGTTTGGTGGTGCCTTGAGGATTATGGCCGAGAAAGAAGGAGTTGTGGGCAGTACTTCCGGCGTGAAGACCGTCCAAAGCTTGAATATCCACTCGATGAAGATTGACGTGGAAAAGTTCAATGGCACAAACAATTTTGGACTTTGGCGATGCGAAGTCATGGATGCGCTCAACGCGCAAAATTTGGAAGATACGTTGGAGTTGGACGGGAAACCGGACAACATTGATGAGAAGGTTTGGAAAAAGATGAATCGAACGGCGTGTGGTGTGATTAGGTCTTGTCTCACTCAAGATCTAAAGTATGATGTGATCAATGAGACTTCTGCAAAGAAGATTTGGGAGATCCTTGAGAGCAAGTATTTGACCAAGAGTGTGGAGAATCGCTTGCATTTGAAGAGGAGGCTTTACCGCTTCCAGTTGAAGAAAGGAACCTCCATTGGTGATCACATGAACCACTACACGAAGCTTCTTGCGGATTTGGCGAATGTGGATGTTAAGATTGAAGATGAGGACAAGGCGTTGTTGCTATTGAGTTCCTTGCCTGACGAGGAATATGAGACCTTCGTTCTTACTCTTATTAATGGGAAGGCATCTCTTTCGTATAGTGAGGTCACCGCTGCACTTGTGAATTA